AGTTGCGATGTAACTTTGCGGGTTCTGTTGCCACTAGGTGTAAGGTGGGTGGGAAAAATCTAAGTGCAAATGCGTATGTTTTGCATAACGTGGGCCGTGGTACGTGTGTGAACTGAAGTGCTTTGTGGAACTGGAAATGCAATGAGAAATTCGAAGACCGAAAATGGAACATTTCTGAGGAAAGAACTTGCATATACAGTGGCATGTGGTTTATGCATACAGCAAAGCCTTTGAATGTGATTAAGACCTCTCTTGGCTTGAATTAGCAAGGGTAAATGTTTAGAATATGTTCACATAACCAATTGCAATTTTTGTATGGATGGATTTTCCTTTACTGCACTTGTAGGAATCAAGCAGTGGAACCCCAAGAAACCACCACATTTTTGGCCCTAGCAGGGGAGGGCCTGGAAGGTACTAGGAAAGTTGTAGTGTAAATATGAAGTACATACAAAATGTCACTGATTACACATTCATAATAAGTTTTGTACAATGGAGGAGGCTCTGCTGTCCTGTGACCCCCACCGAATTCATGGCAGGGTAGTGTATGACTTGCGTGCAGGTGCGCCTGATGTCTGATCTACACATTATCCTTCCGCACAGAGGTGATGGATCCTTAGTTGTCCAGGACCGGGGGTTGGGGGCAGCAACCCCACATGGGAAGCTGGCTGTTCCTCATGCATATGACTATATATTGACCAATTCTGTACGTTATTCATTATTTACCCCTGAATTTCCCTGTTACCATTGTTGCCCTCGCCTGCTTTTGGATTGTGGGTGATGGAGGTTTCCCCTGACATTATTTCTATATATTTGGGTGGTAGTGAAAATATTCCATAAATACTGCTATCATCGTGATTGGTCAGGTGAAGGTACTCTGAATATTTACATTAATTTGGTACCTTTAACTTCATAACTAGTTGACTTCAAAGAATTACAAATGGATGCTCCAGGAAATGTATATGGTTTCAGATCTTGAGTAAATGTATTAAAGTGCAATGAATTTAAGTCATTCAGGTGCTTATAAGAATGAGCAAAAACAAAAACCAGAGCATGTCAAGTCTAGCCAAGTCATGCAGTGGCATGGATGGTTAGGCAATATGTTTTGAAATGGTTCTTGATTGCCAGGGAGGCCTTGTAAGCCAGCAGAAAATGGGTATCTGTTACCAGGGTATCGTGTGAACCCAAAACCTAAGCATAACCTTTCCTACCTTATATTTATTCCCTAGACAGGAGGGGCAAGGTCCTGCTCCCCCCCCCCCCTTTATTGGCACTTTGTGCCAACTTATACAAAATAGATGCTAACAATTGCCTGTATGAAAGTGTTGTGGACTTGGTCTCTGAGTGGTGATATGCAGTTGGTATTTTCATTTTTTCCATAAATATGAGGTTACAGTAGCTGTACCTGTGTATAGGACACCATTTTTTATGCTCTGTAAGATGCCGGCGTCCATTTTCCTCAATCTGTGCAATGCACAATTATTAAGGAAAATGGACACTGCCATCTTAAAGTGCAAAGAAAGGCAGCTTTATTATTGATAACAGTATTGTGCACACAATTATTGAGATGGAATGCTAATTTACGGTACGATAAACTTTTTAGTTACAGACCAACTCTCACAAAATTTAATCAGAAGTTCCTCTGATTGGATATCTTTTTTCTTTATTTGTGGCATTACTGTTCATTTTGGCAGATTATTTCATGGTTAATTGTTACTGAGAGTGATGAACCATTCAAAAACTAAATCCCAAAAGCAGGGTATCCTGCAAACCCAAACACCCAACCTAACCTTTCCTACCTTCTCCCCCCCCCCCCCCCCCCATTAGCACTTCATGCCAACCTATAGAAAAACAGACATTAAGAACTCTGGCTGTGTGAGGATGATGTGGACTTAATCTGAGCGGTGATATGCAATGAATGTCATTTTATGCTAAATGTGAGGCCGTTGCAGCTTAAACTGTCATCCATTTCCCCTCTATCTCAGTGTTGCTCTCCTATAACCTATACCATTGCTTGTACCATTGGCTGCAATTTTGTCCACCTTGTCCTCTTAAGACTCTTCAATTTGGCCTGACTTGTTAATCTTCACAGTATGGATGCACTCAGGACATCTGACACTGACACTTCTCTTAACCCCTTGGATCCGATTGCATGATGGAAATCATGGAGCTGAAAACCCCAGGCAATGGGCTATGCACGTGGCCAACATCCTGGGTGTGCAGCGTGTAGGCCAGGCACGCACGGACACCCATGAGCGGTGACAACTGTGCCTCCCTTTTGAAAATTTATTTTGTTTGAACTACTTTAGCTTTATCGCCATTTTCCAATGTCCATATTTGTCTTTTGGTTTGTCTTAGGCAGATGGTAATTACTTATTTTCCTTTCACAGACTCGATATCTCTGTAGTAAATAGCTCACTGCAAGAAGAAAAAAAGAATATTTGGTTATTTGTCATCTTTTTTTTTTTAATTTTCAATTTTACACAATACAACCTGCACCACCGGTCACAGTGGCCAGGAATACGGTGCGCAGCATGGAAATGGCATCCTCCCTGGAGCTGGTGCTCTTCCAGTCACTGCTTATGCTCGTTATATTCCACATTCGTTTATCGATAGGAATAATGTTAAAGCCCCCTTCTAAGTGCCAAATGAGTTGAATCACACTCCAAGAGGTTTGTTCATTCATGGCGAGTCTTTACCATCACCCTTGCCAGCACTCATGACGGCAGTTTGGGCCACCCGGGCCGTGGCCAGTTTGCCTAGTTGATGGCATGTTCACATCACCCGGGCAGCTGCCCAAGTTTTTCCTTGATGTGACCGCAACGTCATCCAGGTCCAAGGGGTTAAGATGTACATATATTGAACAAATGAAGCCTAACTAGTATAACTTCCTAATGCACCTCAGTGACTGCACCACACACACAGTATTATTGCAAGGTATTACTTTGACTAGTTCCTTAAAATAAATCAGAGGTCATTTCATCAGAATATCCAATTGCTGTTTTTTCATCCTTTACCAAGTGTCTTGCTTGTCCTTACATGTCTAGAATAGAATGGCGTGAAACAATGTCATGGCCTAAATAATCTTGAAGAAACTGACCAACCCTGTCCCAGATATATTTGGCAAGACAAGAGCTAGGACTAGTTCCTTCTTTGCAAATGAATTGCAAGGGATGTCTGCAAACCCTACTTGACAATGTGCAAGATGGGTTACTGTACTGGAGTGAGGTGTTAGGCTGCGTTATCACTGCGCTTCAAATTGCAAATTAGGTTAAAGGATTGTAGCATTACTTTTACTTTGTGGAATTATATTTACAGCAAGTAGTTATTTGTTCCTAATGGCCCTAACCTTGGGTTATCTACTCTAATTCTGGGCAGTTATCCTATTCTTGAACAGCTTCCCCAAATTTAATTGTATATATCTCCAATTATACAGTAGCTAGTAGCTGTTTGTAGTGATATTGCATATAAACAAATTGATATAGATTTCACATTTTGTAAAAAAAATAGATAGATAGGTAGATAGGTAGGTAGATAGGTAGATAGATAGATAGATAAAAAAGTAATTAAAAAAAGATAAATGCAGTGTCCAGAATCAGAGTATTACAAATGTGGAGTTTACATATCGTGTTCCCTTTGCTTTTAAATTTGTTTGTAGCTAATGAGATCCATTAAATTTAATCCAAGCATTTGTTTGTTGAGAGGGATGATAGCCATTTTTGTGTTTTTACACATTGAATATTACAATTATTCCCAATTTTTCTTGTTCTATTTTTTGATAAATGTAAGTGGAAGTTGAGATGTTGCATTTTTTAATCATACGTAATTTGCACCATTAAAGTTAAAAAGTTGAGTGTTCATAATGTATGCTATGGTAGTCCCATTAAATAGGAAATGTGAATTTGTGAAATATCCTGTGTAGATACAATATAGATATTTGATAGAATGTGTAGTTTAGAAAAATTCAGTTTCATTTATATGAAATGTATAGTGTTAGCTAAGTTTCACTTGAGTTTTTGTTGATATGATGTAAAGATAAAACTCATTGAATCTTAATATGCTATTACTATAAAGGTACAAGGTTATCAAAATAGGTTTTGTTTGTCAGTAATAAATATTTAACATTAAAAGCAAAGATTCAGACAAGTTGATTTTCTTGTATTTTTTTGTGTATATTTATGAAAATATTTTCTTCCCCAGGTGTCCTGCTCCGAGATAGCCATGGTGTCGCCCAGGTGCGCTTTGTCACAGGCAACAAGGTTCTGCGTGTGCTGAAGGCCAAGGGTCTGGCTCCTGATATCCCTGAGGATCTGTATCACCTTATCAAGAAGGCTGTTGCCATCAGGAAGCATCTTGAGAGGACAAGGTAAGAATCAAATGTATGATGTAATGCCTGAAATGCAATCTAATCTTCTTGCAAACAAGCTACACAGTTGAAACCAGACTTCGGCTGTATTTATTATACATTTATTATTTCCATGGATATTCTAGTGCTTTCCTCTGTGGATAGTTCCCTGTGGATCAGAAACAAAAGGTTTTCTCTTCTTAACACTTATCACCATTTCTCAGTTTCATTGTCCACATCTTTATACAAAGCTTCATAGAGCCAGTTAGATTGGTTCGAGAACATGCCTAATGTATCTTTTTCTTTGTCACTTTCAGGAAGGACCGTGACGCCAAGTTCAGGCTTATTCTTGTAGAGTCCCGTATTCACCGTCTTGGCCGTTACTACAAGTCCCGTGCAGTCTTGGCCCCCAACTGGAAATATGAGTCATCTACTGCCTCCGCTCTTGTTGCGTAAATAAAGTTTAGACAAGTGTTTCAAGCTTTTTGTGTAACCTTTTCATTCTTTCAAACAAGAAATACCTTTTGCTAAGGCTTGTACAGTAGTATTGGGTTTTATAAATGTTTTTCCTGTTAAAGGAATATCTGTATTGTGAATGTTATTTAGCAGATACATCCTTTACCGTTAAGTATTTTCCAATCGAACTATACAAGACAAAATGTTAAATAAAGAATATTATGGATTTGCATTATGCTTATACTACCTGGAATCTGCAATGTGAATAGCAGAATAATACAATGGTGCAAAGGTATAAAAACCATGAGAAGACAGCTTTGAAAATCTGATGCAAAGTAGAAGCCTACTTTAATCCTTATTGGGCTGTGACACTGTACATTTAAACCAAAATTTTCAGAATTAGGACGTCACTCAAGTTGGTCTTTCATCTGGTATAAAAAGATTCAGCCAGCTTGAATTGTGCTCCCTTTTGTATAATGAAGAAATGGATTGACCAGTACTTCTAAGTTTTTATATCATGTAGGGTCAATAACCCCTTAACAAGTCTGAAGGACTGTTGGGATATCTTCTTTGGACCTCAGACCTCGGCTCAACCAATTTTGCAAGGTCTTTTTATTCCACTTTGTTCTCTAACCCCTTCTGTCCACTTCCAAAGATATGAAAGGATAAAAGGCTGGGTTTGCCTCTCCTCCAATTCCTTGCTCGTGGGGGTGGGGGCTTAAGACACTGAGACTGAGGCCCACTGTAGGGGATCACCCCTATCTTGGACATCAGCCCTTCCCTCAACTAATTTTGCATTGTCTCGTCTTCTCCACCTTTACTTTTCCTTCTCTTCATCCCCTTCTATCCACTTCCTAAGATGTGAAAGCCACGCTGAAAGGATGAAAGGCTGGCTTTGTCTCAGTCCTGAACGGCTATCGTACTCCGTTTACTATTCCCTCTTTATCCTTTTCACTACCATACTAACCTACAGTGCTCTACAACCTTTGACTTCTAACACATTGTTTCCTAATTGCAAATTCATTTTCATCTTTTTGCCACAATACTTTGTCATAATGCTGTATGACCTTTCCTTACCTTCTACCCAAAATATTCCTACATCTCCCTCAGTATCTCTTCCTCTTACTCCTTTTCTCAGCCAATTTGTTTACCCATTCTAAATCCAGACACTCCAATCTCTACTTCCCCAGTACATATTTCCTCCCTCCTCGCTCTTATTACATCGGACAATCTAAAACGTTCCACTCCATCTCCTACTGCATCCTCTCCAACACCCACCTCTTCCTCTGCCCCTTCTTTTCCCCCCATATAAGATAATCTTCGTTTCTCAGACCTCCCCAATCAACTATCTAATCATGGCCCAAGATAACATGCCTATAACCCATCCATCCTCCAGACTCTCCTCTCCCATTCCCTTGACACTCAAAGTGGCTGCCAACGTCCATCCTCCTCGTTCCTCTCCCTTCCTCCCAACACCTACCATCCCCCTCTTGTTTCATCTGCATCGCCACCTCCCCCGTTCTTTCCCTGTTATCCTTTTCCACTCCCATAGATACACATATATGACTCGTCGCAATACCGTTCACTGGATCCTCCCCGTCCTGACATTTCTCCTAAAACTGCTTTATGATCTAATCGCCCTTAACCTTCCTTTCCCCCTTTTGCTAATCCCTCCCATACCTCCTTTGACAACTTTCTCCTCCTCAGACGCATGCATATCCTCCATTTGCTAATCCTTTCCTTAACCCATTTGTACACGCCCATTCTACCCCTTTTTAACCCTTTCAATACCATGCTATCTTCAACTCCTGTACTCTTACTTGTGACGTATTGTTCCTTGACTTTTTCGCCACCACACCTTCCTTTAGTGATAGATGAACTTTGATGTTTAGCCCATTTAATTTGCTTTGTAACCATTAACCATTTCGGAATAAAGATATGAATCCATCTCGTGTTCCGATTAAATTCACACAGCGCTCGGAACTGCTCTTCCAGCTCGGACAGATGACTTGTTAAAGGTCGATTCACACACAGTAGCTTATCCATGCTGTGTTAGTCCAGTAAATGCGAAATCCGTGACGCTTCAGTAACGTCTTTTCACACATCCGTAGTGACTCCGTGACGAGGTGGAACAGGCTGTGAACATAAGCTGAAGAAAAGAAAATAGGCTCATGAAATCTGGAAGAAATGAGAGAGTAAAGGAGAGTTTGCTTTTCTATACAAGGGAATAATTGATGATGGAACATTTTTCCAGCACTTCAGAATGTCTAAAATACTTTCATCCTATTGGTCAGTAAAACGCAGGCTCACCTGAATAAGCGAGACTCACTGGAAAAAAGGCTATGGGACGATTAGCAGTTTGAGGTTAAATACAAATATTTTGTAGTATGGTTATTCATTGTACTTGTTTATTCTTATCCACACAAAGAGATTTTCCTTAACAACAAACAAATCTTAGGCATTTATTTTGCTAAACAATATATTAAAAAAAAGGTAAATTCATGATTATTTTTTTATAAGCTCACAACACGTAAATATAAAAAATATCGTTGACGACGATATTCAAAATTACGGCACGGAGACGGAACTGACAGTCAAAACACGGTACTGCGCCGGGCATGTGAAAGCGTCGGCCGAATTCAAAGTAACGATTTTTTTTTTTTTTTCACCGACACTGACGGACTGGTCGGACGCGGCACTGACACGCCACTGATATGTGTCAATGTGCCGTAACTCTGACGGAGCCCTCAAACCCAGAAAAGAAACAGTATTATTCTTGTTAACATGAGTTCTTATATTTTTGGACTGCACGCCCTAAAGTTCACTGCGATATACACTTTTAGCAGATTCTCCGACAGAATTAATGAAAAGAGCAATTCCGGACGCAGCCTAGTGATAGTCGGTGAGAAAATCTATAGTCATTCTCATTGCACCGTTGTGGTTGCATATAATGATAAAAATTCACTTGTACCCATGTTATTGTTTACAGATAATTATGTTATGTTACATGAAACTGATATTAAATCAAATATTTAATGAAATTAAACATATTGAATGTCATGTACCAAATTAAAGTTTTGTTTGCGTATTACTTTTCATACTGCTGCTCCTGCATATAACATGTTTCGATCAAGCAATAAGGCGTCAGTCCCCTAGGCAAATATAATTATCAAATCATGTAAGTGTACATGTTTGGGAAGTGAGTGGCGAGGGCACGCAGGAAAACCGCTGGCAAAACTTGTATGTATAAAACGTGTACCCATATAACACTAGCACTTTTTCCGTCATTATTTTTTGCGTTTCCAAATGAACTCCGTATGAAAATCATTTAAACTAACATGGCGCTATCGGAGTTAGGTCCCGGGAATCACACGAAAATTCTGACATATTACGTTATTTTAAAGAAAATTTTGATGTATATTGTATATACGAATGTTCTAAAACATTAGCTTATGTTTGCATTCACTCATCCTAATTTATTAATAGCACAAGATCAACACGGAAATTAGTCAGACGGAAACGGTCGTAACCGTCTTGGTCTGGGAGGCGTTCCGTTTGTAGACGATCCTTGCGGAAAGCCTCAAATTCAAACGGAACCCCAGAAATTGACGGAAAAAGTGCTAGTGTGATAGGGCCTTCATAAGTGGCCAAAGTCAGCCACTTGGAAACCTCTCAACCTGGGTACACTGCTGAAGAAGCGGGGTGTGGTTTCCCTGCTCGCAAAGAATTGCCGACACGAGTGAAAACGGTTTATAAGATTCGAGTCGAGTCCTATAAAAGTAAGGCTGATTTTGATTCCAATTGTGAATAAGAAAAACTAACAATAGACGGAAAAGGAACCACATTGCTTGTGAGACACTGTTGTAAAACTTTAGTACGATATTTGGTTATGCATTGGGTCCACAGGTTCAAAATGTCTTGGTCGCAAATTCTACAGGCGGGTAGGCCTTAGCACTTTCCGCGACAAGTAATACTCAGGCCGGTATTCATAAGAGAAATAACAACCATGCTATATGTCTTGGTTTGAACAAACAAACGTGAAATGTTGCGAAATGGCAGTTTTTTGCGCAGCCACCAAATAAAAGAGGAAGAACTGCACGGTGAAGACAAAAGCGCGAAGCTACAGTTTTAAGTGTGGCACACGCACACACACATACACACACGCACACACACACACACACACACACACACACACACACACACACACACACACACACACACACACACACACACACACACACACACACACACACACACACACACAATATATACTGGTATATATACATACACACACACAGAATATATACTGTATATATATATATATATATATATATATATATATATATATATATATATATATATGTGTGTATGTATGTGTATGTGTATATGTATAATTAAAAAAAGAAAGATGAATTAAGATATATAGAGAAAAAATTAGATAAAGCCTGAAAACGCCTAGATAGCCAGGCAGACAAATAAACAGATAGATAAAGGGAGGGCTTTATATATATATATATATATATATATATATATATATATATATATATATATATATATATATATATATACATATATATATATATACATATAATATATATATACATAAAAAAGTTACTTAGAGACAGAAAGCCCGAGAAAGAGAGAGCGAAAGAAAGGAAAACGATGCAATTAAAACTTTTTTTTTAGACAAAGGAAGTTCTATGCCAACCGTAGACCAAAACATAACAAGTCAACTTTAGCATCGTCAGTTTAAAAAAACAAAATATGATGAGACTCTTAAATAATACAAAATAAGAATAAGAAAATAGATGCATATGCCCAGGGCCTCTTCGCTGTATCGCTTCGCCAGGCCCTGAAGAATCGGTGCAGCGAAAAGACCTTCGGTATATTCGTGTTTTATTGTTCTTCCCTTCGTTGTTGTTTTTTTACAGTTTGTTGAGCATAAATACTGCACTTGATGACACGAATACTTATGAAAATATATGAAAATTGATTTGAATTCTCAGGTTTCATTTCTCATACTGTCAGAGAACTCGCATCTACATTTTTTTTTTCGTTTTTTCGTCTTCATTTATATTAGAAATTATATCCGCATGTTATTCTGATTCTCTAACAAACACAACGAACACAAAACCGTTTTCATACCGCCTTTTGCTGTGAAAAAGAGGGAATGTGAGTGCTCAATATTATAATCAAACAACTTTAGGGAACTTTTATTTTGCATTCCAGAAGAAAATTTATAGGATGTAATGAGGACAGCTTTTTTTCTCTTGCAATTATGACCAATGTCTTTATCGACATTCCTAGAGTTTGTAGAGCAGTAACGTTCACGACATCACTTAGAAGTTAATGTCATCATTCTTCAACAAGCCAAAGACACGGAGGAGGGCGTACGCAAGTGAACGGCAAAATCAATGAGTAGTGAATGGGGTTGGAATACCGTTGGTAGTTACTCTATCGAGACCGTCGCTGCTCACAGGTTGCTCTCTGAGTCCTACTTCAGCGTTCTTCAGTCTTCAGTAATATGTCAACGGCGATTAGGTGGTAGTTTAGTGGTGCTTCATTGACGTTTCAGTAGCTGTTCAGTGGCATAACTACGGCCAAGAGATTATCACTGACAATGGTGGTCGAGCACTCATTCCGCGGGTCCCGGCAGCTTCGAATCTTGTTCGTGGCCATAGCGCTTCTTGGGTTCTTTCCCTACTGGTGCAGGAAGAACATCTGCAATCCGATCTTCAGCATGAAACTCCTTTTGTGGGACATCTTCGTGCAGCTGTTCCTAATTTGTGGCAATTACCTTCAGACGGCGAAAGTGTTTCTTAGCCTCGTCACCCAAGACGTCGGTGGCTGGGCGTTTGGCATCTCGCTCATCTTGGCGGGAACTTGCCAGGTTGTGACGCCCATCTTGGTTATGCTGAGGAGCAAGAGGCTGGTGTCGATGTTGAGAGACCTTCCCGCAGTGCTGGAGGAAGAAAGAGAAAAGGGGCTGAACTGGGAAGCCACCGACATCGCCTTCCTGGTGCTGATGGCCTGCCTCGTGGTCTTCTCCGCCGTCTACTTCTCGTTGGTCGGGACCCTCGTCGTCGCGGAGATCATTTACCTGATCGTTTACTCGGTGTTTGTCTTCCTGTCCATGGGGTGCGTGATTGTGCTCTTCAGGAAGCTGCCGCGTCTGCTGACTCAGCAAGTCCAGCGAAGGGTGGAAGACGCGGTGGTCGCCTGCATCGAAGGCTCGCTCGACGACAGCCGGGCCGAGGGGCGCGAGGAGGACCTGGCTCCTCTTCACACCCTGGAGCAGGAAGTGCGCAAGGTAGTTATCTCTTGCACGAAGACACCCAATCATCGTGAACACACACATGCATGAACACAGCACACAAATGAACAAAAACACACCGCGATCAGCCATAACCTCAAACACAACCTGCCTTCTATTCACACTCACCTACAGTAAGAGGCAGATGAAAGATGAAGAGCATAGTCAGCATAGTCCCTTGTAGGCATTCTCAACTGGTAACACTAGTGTGTGAGGTTGCTATGGTGATGGGATCATCATCTTTACCGTTGTAGTTTTATCATTATTATCACTAGTGAGACCATATCCATGATCATTATATTTATTGTTATTAGTATAATCATTATGATCTTCAAAAAGGCAATAATAAGAATCATAGTAACGATAATGCATACAATCATAACTCATAAAAAATAATAATAATAATAATAATAATAATAATACAAAAAAGGAAAGGACATTTTTTATATAGATATTCTGTTTCTGTTTTATGTTCCTTGTATTTTATTGTATTCTATGTTGCACAGTAATTTGAAATAATTCTTATGTCAACTTTCACAAGAAATAACAAACATTTTACGAAACTGTTATGGTCCATCGACATAATGGCTGGGAAGTCTTATCTTGAATTTCATGATAACAGTTTACCACGTGACAGCCAGTGACAACTATTAGAATAGAAAGAATATATTAAATGCAGTTGTGAAAAGAAATAGCGCCAGTCATCTGGAAACGGACTTACAGAGACAACGGGACTTCATTTTTAAGTTCGTTCCACGCATGCGCATTTATTATCATTATTATTATATCATCATTATCATATCGCCATCATTATCATTACTATCATCATTATCATTATCGCCATTATCACCATATAATTATCATCTATATTACTATTATTATCCCATGCGTTATCTACATCATTGTTATTATCATTGTTGTTTTGTTAAGATTTTCTTTAATTTATTGTAAGAAATACATATAATTATTTTCTTAGATATTCTTATTATTATTGTAATTACACAATTAATAACATATACTGTAATGGCACTATTATCATCACCATCGTTGTAATTATCACCATTAATATTGTTAATACGCCATTATAATTATCGTCATTATCATTGTTACTATTACTGTTATCGTGATTATCATCTTTTTGTTATAATTATTATTAACGTTACCATTATTATTATGATGACGATCGATGATGCTGATAAATCTTTATTGCTATCTATTTCATCCTTTCATTATCAGCATTTCTCTCGTGATTCTGTGCAGACCAAAAGTGATCGTTCCTTCTCTCTTGACCATTGCCAAAATATTCTGCTGTCGTAAATGTTTTTTTTTTTTTTTTTTTTTTTTAGATAATTGGACACACTTGACAGCACTGTTCTGGATCTGTGAACATTGCGAGTTTGGTGTATACAGTGTTAAGACGGCTGTGGCACGCCGGTTGATAATATAACGATGTTAACCTTTAAGAAATACGGTAATTTGTCATGAGAACAATTGTTGGCAAAGGTTATGATGTAATTTGTACGAGTGTTGCTTGGAATTGGGTGCTTAGTGGTTGCAAGACCTACTGATCTTTCCATAAACGTTTTTTTTTTCTTTTCATCTATAGTTTACTGCATACTGAAAAGCAGAAGTCTACATACACTCGCAGCTTGGCCCGTATTTTCAGGCGTCGCCCAAAGATGGCGCGGTAATCATCATATCCAAAGTAAAGAGACAAGGAGGGAGAGGGGGGGAGGGGAGGGGAGCAGGAAGAGGAGGGGAGCAGGATGGGTTGGGGGCGAACCTAGTGGCAATGGTTGCATGGCCAATGTTTGCCATTTTAGTGGCAAACATTGTTATCAATTTCAGTATTGTTATCATTTCTATTATGTTATTATACAAAGAAAGAGGTAATGGGTTATGAGTTGGTCTCTGTCTCTGTCTCTCTCCACACGCGCGCGCGCGGTGTGTGTGTGTTCCTTCTTCCAGAGATGGAAATAAAAAGAGGGGGAAGAGGTACACACACACACACAAATATGAATATATATGTATATGTGTGTGTGTGTAAGAGATAGAGAATCAAACAAAGAATACGTACCGGAATACCCCATAGCCAATTACTTTTCTTTTTCCTGCAAATGGCTTTTGATTATATCAACTATTATAACATCGGATGGTGACATTAATATGTCAGCTAGTTATCATCTGCTCATTGCCACCTACACCGTCTGACTGCCTCCACCCCCTTCCCTTCTTCATCCCACTCTCTCGTTTCTCTTTAATTTACGACGAATACTGGTCATTTGGACCTGTTGAAACAACACAAAACTTCTGTGTATGGGTGTGCATCCATCCTCAGCCCAATATCCAAATTATACGAAACAGAATCTCACGAAGTCATCTTTCGCGAAGATACAGACCATTGTTGTTGTTTCCCTCCAGCTGAGTAACGTTCGAGGCAAAGTGGTGCGCAGTTTTTTCCTTTCTGTGACTGCGCTGATCACCGTGTGCATCGGTCTGGCCATCGCTATGTCCTACGCATCCTTCCGAGGTTTCCTGGTGAACGGAGGAACTGTTCTGTTGTTCTTCGTAGGCCTCTCGCTGATATACTTCTTCTACAACGTCGGGCAGTCGTGCAATGATCAGGTGAGTCGTGCACTCGTGTTATGATTCCCTGACGTAGATCATTTGTTTTGATGCGATTTGTGAGATGCAGTGTCAGGGAGACTGTTCTCTGGCAATAATTGTCTTTAGCAGAAATAGATGCATCGCAGTCTCTGTTATAATCGTTTTTAAAGACCAATTTATTATGCTGGAGCCAGAAATAGCATCATGTTGTATTGTCTGATTATTATAGCACGTATCCCATGCTTGTTGTATTTGGCTTCGATGTTTCGAGATAGAACAAACCTATGAACCGTATTTATGTTGACGAATGTAGAAAAGGTAAGAATGAGAATGAATATCGTCACAGAGATTATTTGACCGGTTTTGAATATATCTTTGTCAGAAATAGATATATTCGAAACCAGTCAAATACATCTCTTGTATTGTGAAGATATTCATTCTCATTCTTACTTTTTCTACATTTTACTGTATGGCCATTTCTTGTGTGTGTGATTGAAAGGAGCTACATTACATGCGTTGAAAAGAAACAGTAAATATACCAGAACAATCTAGAGAGAATATACATCAAATACAGCATATAATTCAATTAGTTGATCTCCCTAAAAATGGCGTAAAACAAAATCTGGTCTATATGAGATTAAACATTTTAAAGATATTCCTGCCTTCAAGACATTCAACTATACTCTGGCCCCTATCAGAAGGAAAACTGGCAACTCAAACTAGATTATCACAATTCGCCAGACTGTTGAAAAGCATGCATGAGTTTTGTAAAAGAAAAGCGGCAAAAATCCATGGGAATATTGCATGAGTTTTGTAAAAGAAAAAAAAAAAAAATACAAGGCTAAGAGCGAATCAGAGTACATTAGACTCTGTTTATCTCCTGTGACTAACTTAGATGCACTATAGTCTTGGTTTGTCAATTATTATTACTATTGTTTATTTATTATCATTTATTCATGGGGGGTGGGTGTCCGTTTCTTTTTTTTTCGAAAACGGCAGTTTGGCTATAGTTAAGCGATATTTTGAAACACTTTATAAAGTATTTATACAGTTTTTTAATTACATGAAGTGCTGCCATATTTATAGTTTTCCATAGTCATTACGAGAACAATGTATATACTCCGTGTCCTTCACATGAAAATGTACATTGCTATATTAAAACTATGTGTATAAACAGTGCACCGTCAAATTAGTAAAATAAACATATGCAATATACATACGCAGCCACTCATCCATTCACACACACACACGCACACGATGCACTGAACCCCTTTTATATGGACACGAACCGTTGGCCTTGTTTACCTGTCGCGTGAGGGTGTCTGTCTGTGTGCGTGTACGGCAAATAGCGATAAAATGTTCAATGTGCTGCCTTGTGTACCCAACATCGGAGGGCCAAAGGGGGCAAAATTACTTTCTACGATGACGCCTTTTCTGACATCTGTGTTTTGAGCGAGAGTGCTCGCATAAAGTGAAGTTCAAACTTGCCATTAAGAGCATAACACTCGATTAATATTTGTTTACACAAAATGAATGTAAGATATGGAGTCGTAGAGTAAGCGCGATTTTTTTCTTTTTTGTTTATATGTGTGTGTGTTTGCGTTTTTTTTTTGTTTTGTTTTGTTTTTACGTACAGAGTTAGATGTTAGTGAATTGTTTAGGATGAATAATAACAATAGTCTACTTCATTTAAGCAACAACATGAAATTGCTGACAAACATAACACAGGACTATTTAGTATCAAATAAAGCGGGTCAGCTACATAGCCGTAGAAAAAAAGGGGGGGCAATCGCCACACCCCACTCAGAATTGGAGGGGTGCAGGACCCAACTTCCGCTCCCCACTCCTCAACGTGCGAGGACATTCCCTGTAAGCATACACACAGAGCAATTTCTTAATTGCCCAGTTATTGAGAACACTGACCCCCTGCAACTGAGAGGGCTACGGCGGAGTCTGGTGTTCAAAATGAAATAAACTTTACGTCAAATATTATCTAAATAAAAATGATTGAGATTTTAGTGCAGAAATTGTTTATCTCTTTAAAACTGCTAAAATCCAGGTGATTTCGGGTGCTTCGCCCCCTGTTCCCACCGGGCGCTGCCCCTGGACATCATCAGGGGCCTGCAGCCCCAGGATTTTTTGGGGGAGAACCTACTTTGAAAGGTCAATAGCATTGCCAGTAGTGTTCTTTCCATCAGACTGTATGCCTCTAGTGTGAGAATGCTAAGAACTGCAACTGTAATACACAATCGGGTGTCTCTTTATTGAAGTCCAGCGAACTTTGAACACTTATTTTAGGCATCTGTAGTGTAAAATACAATTCAGTTTTGCGTCAAATACACAGTGTATTGGTCATTTGCATTATTTACGTTGTGTGATAGATGTAGCTTTTGGCATTGAATTTCGACATGTGTACAGCAAAACTTGTTATACATATTGCTTCCTTTATTCACACGTACTAATCAAGTACCAGTTTAAAGTTGATTTAGTACATGGCTACCAACATCCATTTCCATTGTAACCTAATTATTTTCTGGGATGTATGTAAAAAATAGCACTACATAATGTATTTTACATGCAGGTGAACGACGCCGTAGAGACCCTACAGAACTTAAGCTGCAACTTTGCCAGTGCTGACGCGAAGGCTCAGGTAAGCATTCAAAAGCCGTAAAGACGGTTATGTGCGCTTAATACTTTAGGGCAGAATACATATAATTTAGCAAAGGTTACGATTTATCCCTAAGTGTTACCAGCTGGGATAGAATGTGAGTTTTCATTACCGTTATACCTCACTGAGCCCACACCGGGACTTACTGAGAAAAGGATGAGGATAACCTACGTTACCACATCCTTTTTGAGATGTAATCTTTTGTCAAAATAAACTCGTCAAAGTCAAAGTCACAATGGTGCTGTATAGTGGTAGCGTTCTTGTCTGACAGTCTTGCTGACCTGCGTTCGATTCCCGCGCACTGCCAGTGGATGGTAACCCCGGCCATTCCTCGCTCACAGGGAGTAGTTTAGAAGCACAATAAACAGACAAGCCACAATTTGACTGATGTCACAGGAGCCTATCACAACATACCCTAAATTTACATTATTATTATTATTATTATTTATTATAATTATTATTATTATTTTTAGGTGTATCACGTCATCACCTGCCTTCAACCGCTTAGAAAATTCGACATGTGCGGATGGTACACGCTGGACTACCCATCGCTAGTAACGGTTCGTCGCAGTCCTCCTCGGTCTTTGGATTATAGACACTTGAGTCACAATATATTGCAAATAATTTACGTTTTCTGTGAAGAATGGGAAAATGATAACGCCATAATGTCTTCATTTGCAGGCGGCTAGCGTTGTGGTCACGTATTTGGTGATTCTTCTTCAGGTTGGCGGACTGCAGCTGCAAAATTAAGTTGAGACTCCCAAACGAAGAGGTAGAGGGGGAGAGGGAGAGGGGGAGAGAGGGTTGTGTCATTTTGCTTATATTATTCTAATATTATCTAGCGGGTAAAAAAAATGTATCCCTATTCATACCGTGTCTATAACATAATTAATATAATCAATAAGTGCTGCTCACACTGCTGTTTGATCGATTTGATGCAGTTTCCGAGCAACAAAATAAGCATAATTGTGTAAGATTATCGACTTGGGCGCCTTGCACATTTTGCAGTGGTGATAACTGGCCTGGCCTCCAAAACTGCATCTTAATACATAATTTGTAGTGTATTTATATCCTATGCATAGCCTAGTCAATGTAACATGCGGTCTCTGAGACAGTCCAACACAGACTTTTTATGCTTTGTTCATATCATATGTCCCTACAATACTTTCATAATATCAGATGTCCGTTTTTCTTCATTTTTTTCGGTGTTTCATACCTGGCCCTCGTTTGCCGAAGCTCTGAAGTTATTCCCCTCCAATCAAAGACCTGGATGAGAATGTCATCAGCATAGGATGTGATGCTACATAGGTCTTCTAACTCACTGTTAAGCTTGCAAAGAGAGTTCCTGTGTATGTTATATTATGAAGGGGACAAAACTCCTTGTGGAGTGCCTAACTGTAGTTCACCATAAGTACTGTAGATACCTTGGTACCATACTTTTGCTCTTCTCAAAGATAGATAATCCTTTACACATGGCTTCGGCTATGTGTAAAGGATTATCTTAATTCATGGAGGATTGTAGTAGAGGTGGATGTCGAATGCTCCCTTGAAATATACAAGGTAATTTGTTAAGCACATTTGTGTTCCTTTCTCCTTTGGAAACCAAAGACTGATGGATTAATTTGATATTTGATCTGGTGGAGCATACAAGTGAGAAGAATCCTTTCAAAGGTTTTAGAGAGACAGGTTGTCAGAGAAATTAGTCTCAATTCATTAGGGCTTTCTGGTTTTGTGATGGGAATAATTGCAGCTTGTTTCCAAGCAAGATGCCTGCAGTATAAGTTACGTTGAAGAGATCAAGAAGGGATTTCTTCCTTGTATCTGTACCTTTACAAGGAGTCGGATGATGTCGTAAGTTATGTCATCATCCCCAGGTGCAGTGGATTTACTAGTCTTAATGGCTGCAAGAAGTTCATGACTTGTGAATGGTGCATCAGCCTCATCTAAAAAGGCACTGAGTCAATTTCATTTTTGTGTTTTGACATACGGGATTACCGACGTTGGGATAATGGAATATGGATAATGGAGTTTTCGCAGCATTTACCGAACAATGACAGAGAGAGAGAGAGAGAGAGAGAGAGAATGAAAATGAAAGAGAAAAGAGAGACAGAGAAAATATGTACAAAATAATCGTAATTCAAGTTACCATTCTTTTGCGGAATAGCACAACGAACGGTGGGTAATAACAGGTTACCAGAAAAGGGTTATACTAATCGTATCGATGCACTCAACATTCCTTTGCCCGAGTATATAAACTTCCTGACGTATTACCGATAAGCAGAATGCCACATCTTTAACCAAGAAATAAGAGTGGATTATTAGTTCCAATAAGCATATTCAGCAGCGAATACCATTTTACAAGGTGACAAATACTGATCAATGTTTTCGCACAGCGCCCAAATGCGGCAGTCCTATCGAGCGCTTTGGGGCACGCGGGAGACTGTTCATTTGGTGCATTTTTTTATGTATGTGTGCAGTAAATATAAATCGCACACACGCACACGCATACAAACATATTCACACACACGCACATGAACGAACCGCACACGCACACACACACGCACAGGCGCAGGCGCGCACGCACACGCACAGGCGCGCACGCACACGCACAGGCGCGCACGCACACGCTTAGGCGCACGCACACACACAGGCG